TGAGACGGAGGAGAGGAGATTATGCGTCACCCTGCATTATAAAAAAATACACTCCTTGATCAGACTCCAAGGTTAAAACAATAGCATTTAAAACATCACTGTTATTTATAGAGTCATAGAAGTTAGGGGCTGGAAGGGACCTCAGAGATCATCAGGTCCAGCCCCGAATTATCTATAATAGTTATAAACTACTATAGATATAATTCAGGCAATAAAAACGAGGTTTTTAACCATATAAATAGGGTAATAGGCTAGGATGGGATACTTGGGTCTATTGAATGCTGGAATGATTTTATTTTTGAGCAATAGAGAGAGAGAAAATAGATCTGCCAATGAATTTGAGCAGAAGCTGGCAGAGACATTTAATCTGAATGGCAGATAAGCAAGGGATATGTGTTGTTGTTGCTGTGTGAGACTACCTGAAATGTTACAGTCACTCAAGTGTCACTGCGATGAAGAGGACGGGAAGCATCTTTTTTTCCAAGCCAACAACGGGGAGCTGTGAGGTTTTAGGGAAGGCTGATGCAATTAGCCTGAATGCGCCTTGATGATGGGATGCTGTCCAAGAATGCGTTGAGTCACATCTAATGACTTCAAAACTACTAATTAATTTTGAATGAACTGGATTGAGGAAGAAGGCGGTGAGTTGTGGTTGCTATGACTCCTACTGAAAATTGCTGTTTTCAAAAGTGTCCACCATGACCCTGGGCAGGGGTGAGATGGGGTGAGAGCTGAGAGCCGTGCTTGTGGAAAATGAAAAATAAACACATAGGAGGTGTGCAGCCCAGCGAAGGAGTGGAGATGGCAAGAGGTCTGGAGGCACCTGAAATGGGATGGGTGGGTCTCTGGGAAATGGGATAGGAGAGGACAACTTTGGTTGCATTTTTGGCAAGGGCATAGCTGGTGGTGGGACTGGACAGGAAAAGACAGGAGTCTGCTTTTTCTCTCTTCACACCTGCAGTGGCTCCTTTTCAAGCCATGCACATCCTGAACCTCTGAAGGACATCCTAGAGTATGGGTCTGAGATATGATAAAGTCTGCAGAAGCTGGCTCTGCCCAGGAAGAGGGCTTGGAGCAGGAGAGGCGAGTTTGAAATGGGGAATGCAGGACATTTAGTGTACAGGGTGTTGGAGGATGCTCCAGAGGTAAGAGCCAAGCACAAAATCAGGAGTTAGGTAAGGAGGTGAAGGGAGGGATGTCCCTACTGCTAAGTGAGCTCTACAGGTCTTGTGTTGGGTGCCATGCATGCAATAGCACTGGGTTGAGGTCTCTCCAGAAACAATAATAATCCTTTGTGCTGAAATAGAGTAACATGTAGCAGTAGTTAAAATCAAAATACGGAAAGAAAACAGGTATCAATGCGTTGCCCAAAGCAGCAGACTTTTTGTTAAGGACACATAAAAATAGCTTCTCTTCAGCTGTATCAATCTGGCGTGTGGCTGCCTGCATTTCCATACAGTCGCTTGACAATATTATGCTGATTGCTAGGAACAAAACTCTTAAGGGGAGGGAAAAAAAATCCATGCCGCTAATCTACAGCAGAATTGGTAAATGGGTAAGACAAAGCTTTAATAATATTATTGCATGCGACATCTGATGTAAATAATACAGTTCTATTAATCTCACAAGCAGTCAAAGGCTGGCTGTTAGATGCAGCCAAGTATGAGCAAGAATATTATCTCCTCTAAGGGACATTGGAATAGAATAGCACATTCATTTCTGTAGAAGTATTTTTTTGTTGCGCTGGGCCCAGGAAGTCATGCATGAACTCTGAAACAAGGAGTTTTCTGACAGCGCTGTAAGAATGACCAGGTTGGGAGGCCTAAAAGCCATATTCACGTTGGGCATCCCCAAGGCTTGGGTTGTCACCTTGCAGTACACACCCCTTCAAGCAAGCAGGTTCTGGCCTGTGCTCCTTCCCCACTTGTTTCAAGTCAGGCGGTCTACACTAGCCCAGATCTGGGGTTATATTAACTTCCTTTTGTGACCAGCAAATCATGGGCCTGGAAGAAAAAGGACCCACTCACATTCCCCATCTGTTGCCCATGGCCTCATCAGCTTGGATGTACAGAAATACAGCAGCCTTTTGGACAGCTGCCGCCTGCACAAAACCCAGCAATGTGATATGACCTTGCTCAGACATGCAACAGTGTTCCCAGCTGCTTCCAAAGTGAGCAAGGAGTTAACATTATCTTGTCCCCCAACACACAAAAGGCCCGTGTGCATTGTCTGTCCAGTAACACAACATTAACTAATGTAGCCAAATGAAGTAGAATTTTTAAATGAGGTCCCATTTTTCAAATATGGTCCTCAGATACGATGCAGGTCGGGGTTGTCTGATTCTTAACAGTTCATTAAGTAGAGAGCAGCTAGTGTTAGAGACTGACTTTTAAAAATGATAGATTTTTATTTATGGTGAAGTTCCAGCCATTAATTTTAAAGGAAGAAAGCACAAAAGCAAGGAGTGGGTTCATTAAAAAAAATTGACATTAGTAATTTAATTAAATTGGGTCTTTGAGTATCATTGCAGAAAATGAAACATTAGTTCTATGCCGATTCTCAGCCCGTTTGGGATATTTAACAGTCTCCCCACCTATGAGTTTATTTTTATACCATTAAAATCGGTATCCCGGCAGTTGTTTTGCATGTCAGTTGAATTTGTCAGTGACTATCAATTTTGTGCAAGTGGTGTTAATTTATAGTGCTTGCGGTAATTCTAAGAGCTGTACCGTCGTATGAAAGCACTTTTATTTCCAGTTTGTATAAGGTTAACAATAGTGGCATTATTTGAAGAGCCACCCAGGGAAAACTAAGGCACGAAGACATGAAATCGGTGATGGCAGAAATAATATTTATGTTACAGTAGCCCCTAGAGGCTGAAACAAAGATCGTTGCCCCTGTACTAGGTACTGCCCAGCTGCATATTAGTGAGAGCTTGCCCTAAGGGGCTTACAGTCAGAATGGACAAGAAGTAGAAAGGGAGGGAGGGGAAAGAGTGGCACTATCGAAGTTTTTCCAAGCAGTCCAGGTTGAATCAGATGCATCTTCCATTTAAATGAATGGAACCCAAGGTAGTACATCGGGTGTGTACAGAAGTGCTCCATGCACTTATTGCAGTGCTGTAATTTAAAGCACTTTTTATAACACTATAATGTTACAGCACTCTTAAACATGACAGAAGTGCAGTGTTTGGTTTAGGGGGGCAGAGGAGGGGGTCTGAGCCTCCCTGCACTTTCCAGGCTAGGAGGCAGGGGGCACACAGCAGCCTCCTGGGGCTTCTCCACTGATCAGAAATGTAACAAGGGTTAATTTAAAGCACTGTATCCCTTTTTAAAGTGCTGTAAAGCCATGCACTTCTGTTAAGCCATGGCAATAAAGAGCTTTAAAGAGCGAAAAAAGCAACTTCTGTACACACCCAATTATGCCTGACCTGGGCACTTGACCACCAAGGCACCATAGGGTCAGTCTGCAGCCAGTAGTCTTGGTATTATAGTAATTACAGCCAAATCTTGACTCTCTTGCCACAAATGTTGTTGCTCATTTGCTGATGGAAATATATACCCTCTTCTTGCGGAGAGGTCTTTGGCAGCATCCTGACTCTTTGTGATGCACTGAAGTTTAAAGGGAATGGAGACAGGTTGTACTACCTGGGTGTGGGTTTTTCTCATGGTATATATAGTAGAATATTTGGAGTCATGCTTCTGAAACATGGCCCATTGCACAGCACCATTGTACCAGTTACATTAACCCGGTGCATCCTTACAAATATTCATTTCATTTGGTTATGAGCAGCTCTGGCTTTGCTCTCTTCTACGTGCCTTGGCTACCTGGCATATCATTTTCCTGTCCATCTTGCCCATTTCTTTGGCAGAACAAGAGCCTAAACTTCTTTCTGCTCCCAGGAATGTATCCATTTTGTACATGCCCTTGACAGAATTCCCTTCTATGCAGTAAACACTCAATCAGCTCTGAATCAGATGCTTTTTTCTTCCTCAGACTTCCTTTAGTATTTCTGCATGGAGGCAGGGGGACTCCTCTTAAAAGAACTTGTGTAAGAGCCTGATTCAAAATTGATTAAGTCATTGTTAGTTTTTTCATTGTCTTCATTGGGTTTTATATCAGGCCCTAAAAACTTGAATTTGAATAGGTCCTTTTGGAGTGGTTTATGAGAGCCTGTAGCATTTCATACAAATAGGCTGAGGCTGTTTTACAGAGGCATTAGCAAAACTATGCAAGATTTATTTGTGTTACAGTTTATACTGCTGCTCATATCATATAAATAAGGTATTTTAGGCTGCACCTGTTAATGGTGTAACTTGATGCAACTCGGTTCTCTTCAGTGGAGCTATGCTTAGTTACTATATGGTCAAGAGCCTAGCTGTATGTACCCCATGACTTGTGTATGAATTTGCTGAATGATAAATGTGCTTGTGTGCCGGGTGAACTAAGAATGCTAAAGTGCTGATATCTGGACTTTTCTATCTAAAAAGTAATTGCCACTTATACGCTTGACCATTTTATATACCATTCCAAAGGCTTACAGACTTCCCCCCTTGTGCTGCAGAAGATTTTGTCCAAGACCCGGTGAATTCCAAAGAGTGAAATGCCATGTGCCTCCTTAAACTACATAGTATGTGCAGTTTTGTGCACCATAAATGCATCAAATGAAAAAAGGAGGACAAAACCCCATAGGGTATAGGATGATTCCTTGGAGGGGTAAGGAAGGAGTGTATTTCTTCTGATGCTGGTGTTTAAGTGCTCCAATATCGTACAATTTATGACCACTGCTCTTCGCACTTTCAACGATACATTTGCTTTGGCACTGGGTTGGTGTTGATTTCATTTTACTTTCATTTATTTAATTATACAATTGATGTTGGTACCTGAGTAGGTGAACTTTGTTATAATACTCTGGGAAAAAAAACAGGAGAGTCTCTTAACTGGAACAGGAAAGAAATTTGCATTCCTTGGCTAACTGAAGGCATCTTTCTTTCTGGCAGTTTTACCGAGTCATACATGCGGAAATCCAGGAAGACTCCAGAACGGGATCCAACAAGGGACAACATTCAGCATTGGAGACAAAGTGAGATATAGCTGCAACCCGGGCTTCTTTTTGGAGGGGCATGCATTACTCACATGCCACGCCAGTTCGGAAAACAGCGCCTCCTGGGATTTCCCACTGCCCTTCTGCAGAGGTAACTTATTCCCTTAAGCTCATTTCCAGACTAAGCAGCCTACACTGATGAACAAGACAAAGCTATGGCTAAAGTCTTTTGATCCCAATTGCACCTTAAAGAAGTAGGACTGAACTTAAGGGTTCCTCAGGATTGGGGAAAACTTCACATACAGAGAACAGATTTAGGCTAGACATCAGGAAAAGCTTTTTCACGGTAAGGGTGGCCAAAATTTGGAATGGGCTTCCAAGGGAGGTGGTGCTCTCCTCTACCTTGGGGGTCTTTAAGAGAAGGCTGGATAGGCACCTGCCTGGAGTCATCTGACCCCAGCGCTCTTTCCTGCCTATGCAGGGGTTCGGACTCAATGATCTGTTGAGGTCCCTTCTCACCCGAGCATCTATGAATCTATGAATCAAAAGTGAAACCCAAACATGAAGTGGTTGAGATCCAGGGAAGTTTACACTGCTTCCTAAAACTTGAAGTGAATAATATTTTCTGTAGCACTTTAATTATTCAAAGCAGGATTTAACTATTTAACACTCCTTGTTGTATTCCCCAGATAGGGAAACTGAGGCAGGGATGTTAAGTGACCTACTCGAGGGCGCAGAATTTTTGTCATGCTTAGCACTGGGAACCTCCCAATCCCCAGACTTCATACTCACTCCTCCAGTTGCATCTTCCTGTGCATCTCCAGCACTCGCTCATCTCTAGGTGTCCATCTACACGAGATGTTACATCGCCGTAGTGATGCCCTATGGCAGCATTGCGTCTGCAGTCTCAAACCATGATGCCACCACTGCATCACTGTGGCAATGAGCTCCCTCACTACAGTGCATTGCTACAGTGATGTAGCGGCTAAAAATAACCATATGCTGCCAGGACAGCGCAGTAAGGGCTGTTACTGCACCAACATTAAGTACTTCCAAAAGGAAATACTAAACGACAGTGCAGTAACAACTGCGCTGTGGGGATCTATGTAGATGTGCCCTAGAAGGAATCTCCATAATTTTAATTATGCCACTCAGTCTGCTCTGCAAAACTCCTCCCAGTGCTGAGTGCCTGCAGAAGACCATATGTATCTTTTCAAGCCATGTCCTGGTTGGGGCATAGTACAGCCTATAGACCAGACTTGCAAATAGTAGGGACCTGCAGATGGGTCTCAGGTATCCATTGAGACCAGGGCCATCCCTAGGGTACAGTTAATCGGGGCAACTGCCCCAGGGTCCGTGCTTTGGGGGCTCCAAAAAGCCGGAAAGTGTGGTCATGGACTTTCCTGGAGCTGGTAGGTCAGCTGTGGAAGAAGCATGGAGACACCCCCCCCCCTTAGGAGTACCACCACCCCTTCCAGTGTTAAGGGGGCCCTGCACAGGCTGATTTGCCCCGGGTCCCGCACCCCCCCTGTGGTTAGCTCTGATCGAGGGTCATGCTTTTATCATCATAGTTCATTGCAAAACATTGTAACAGTCTCTTAAGGGAAACAGTGGAAAATCCATAATGTGCCTTATTTCAAATTGACTAGGAGAATAGATGTAGGGAATAACTGTGTCCTGGAATGGGGAATGGGCAAAGTTTAAATTTAAGTTATTTTCCATCTTGAAGTTCTCTGATGTTGTCTGATGGGCTGTATTGTGGAGTCTTCTTTTTCTCACTTGTTCCATATTCTGTTTTGAAACAGATTAAAATGTCTTTTTTTTCCCCATCATCTGCTCTGACCAAATCAAGAGCTCCCACAGGGTTATTTTAACAACCCCAGTTCCCTTAGCATGATGGGCTATATGACTCACGGGGGCTACAGGCTGAGTTTTGTTTGAAGCCCACAGCAGGGCAGCTAGTTTGGTACGTTAAAGGGAACTTAGAATCTGGGAATTGATTCACTGTGCTGATTCATTTGTTCTTAACTCCTTCCATATATTTTAGTAAGAAATATCTAACACAGTCAGTCTTATTAGGCCAGCTTTAACAGCGTGACAAGTAAGTGAGGCCAAGTAGGGACAAGCTGTCTTAAGAAGCCTGTCATTGGATTTGATTCTCCACTGCTTTGTGCCTCAGGCTAGTTGCTTTCCATCTTGCTCAGTTTATACCTGTACAAGTGGGTGCAATATGCTGCCATTCCAACTGGGTTGAGTTTAACACTCACTTTGCAATGTCAAATGATGGTAGAAGATGCAGAACAGCAGATTTTGGCTCGCAGTCTCAGAATTGGAGGAAGTTATACAGGGGGTGAAACCTAGACTTAAAGAGCTGCTAAGTGATGGTACAGCATCCGTAAGCAAGGGGATAAGGGTGGCTTCCTTCTGAGTATGGGCTATCACTGCTTGATAATTCTGTTTGGATCTGCAGGACTTCAGGGAATTAGGCAGTCAGTAAATATACAAGTGTCTGTGTTGTTTTATCCAAACAGTTTGCTGCTCCTTGACTACTTTTCTGCTCAATACTTTGTGTACTTCAGCAGAGTATCTTGCATTGATTCTTTTATTGACTCTCCACTTGTGTAATCAATTAGCAGGCCCACGCTAGAGCACATATCTTGAATTTAAAATGATCAAATATTGTTTCCCTGATGATATATGTTCCTAGCACTTCCTTCAATGAGTCATACAGTAGTGATGTATTTCATTTATTGTATTTATCATATGTGTATCTTCTGCTGCTTGTGTGCAACTCATGGTCTGAATATAGGAGAGCTGATGTGGTTAGGCTGATACTCAAGAGGGATGTTTATCATCATCATTTTTCATCTCCAAGTGAACATTTTCAATCTTGATTCTTGAGTTTCATGCTGAGTCAGGGTTTCCATCATAACCTTAATTTTTCAATGGGTTTATATAAGATGACGGGAAAGAAAAAAAATAGTCAAATAACCTTTCAAATAAAAGACATGCTACGTAAGAATAAACCAAAGCCCCTCTTTTATAGTTTGTCTTTTCTGACAGTGGCCCTGCTTCAGAGGAAGGCTAGATACATCAGTTGTCCTACTATTATGAAGGTGTTTTTGCAATGCCCTGCTTGAGGGGAGAGCTTGCCTCTTGACCTCAATCAGAGTTAATGCCCTGAAGGATTACCCAGGTGTGCTCAGTCCTTTTGGGCTGAGAGCCACTCTAATTAAAGTGCCTGGAGTGTCACATGTATCAGGATCCCTGCTTTGAAAAATGCCAGCTGGGGTGCTTTAATTAAAGCTCACGGAACGAGCTTGAGTTAAAGCACCCCTGCTGCCAATTTTCAGTGCAGGGACCCTGATATATGTGATGCTGGAGTCTGCTGGAGCACGGTAATACCGCTCTCCAGCCAACTCGATTCATCGAGTATAATTACAGCACATCGAAGCAGCCTCATTGTATGTGTATAGGCACCCAACGTTTTCAAATCTATAGTCAGAATGGAAATATATACTGTACTCTTCTGATTACAAGCCTGCAATTTTTTCCTGTCCAAAATAACAATAATAATGCTACTTTGACTTGTATACAGGGTCAGTCTGTAATCCAGTCCCTAACAGTCTTGTCCTTAGAAGTTGTGGTATTTTTATTACCTGCACAAAGATACGAAGTCAGAATGCTCTTTTCTTGGTGCATGGTTTCTTTGTTTTTTTAACATTTTTAGTGTTTTAATCTTCTGGGTCCTTTTTCTTGGTTATTTGGCTTTCCTGTAGGATTTTTTAAGGGCAAAAGCAGTTCAAGGTCTTTATCCGCAGTTACCAATGTATATTTGGGTATAAAGCTCTTTCTTTTTTTCCTCTTAAAGCCGAGTTTGAAAATTTAGGGTCAGCTCATATGCAGAGTCCATTTATGATCAAAACAACATAGCATAACTTTCTTGGATGATAGTGTAAGGGTGATGCTGTATCTGTGATAGTCTAGAAATGATGCGAGACGCCAGGATTTCTTAGGGTGATATCTTTTCTTGGACTAACTATGTAGTTGGGATAAAGTTAGACAAATTTGGAATTCGAGATCTCCTTTGCCAGGTCTCTGATCACAGGAAGCAAGCACAGCATAGTTAAAAACAGTAGAGGGGAGGGGGTGAGAGAGATTGTCAAGGGCAGCAGACACACAATTATCTTTTCTTTAGTCACACAATTGGGATCTGTACCTGATCACCATCATTCTGCATCGTGCCGTGCACATGTACCATGGCAGCATGCATGATTGTGGGGATTGAGGATAAGATCCCATCAGAGGATAATTGTAACATCTTCCATGAGCCTTGGGAACATGTGTGTTTGTAGTCTATTAAGTAGTAGCCATTTGTGGGTAACTCAGTGCACTTATGATTAGGGACCTACCCAAATTGAGGAGGCAAATGACCAATATCATGGGCTTATCGCTGATTAGCTGAGAGGGCCATCTGTCATGCAGCCCTACCCCTCACTGCTGATTGGTGGAGAAGGGTGGGGCTGCACGACAGGTAGCTCTCTCAGCCAATCAGTGGTGAGAGGTGAGAGCGGCAGCCACCATGGCTGCTCCCCTTCCTCCCAGCAGCCCTCTCCTGTCCCAGCCCAGCGGGCTGCATGGCCTGGCCACAGCGGGCATGAGGACGGCTGGCTCCTACTGGGGAGCCAGCATTTTATTTTTAGTAAGTTCCCTTTTTTCCCCACGGATTTTGCTGACATTACCTGATTTCACAAACTCCATGAAGTTGTGAATTGAGTAGGTCCCTACTTATGATCCCACCTAGTAAAGCAAATCTTGCTGCACTATAGTACCGTGTAGCTGCTGTGACTTTTAAGGAACTGATTTATTTCTGAAGAAATGATTACCACTGGAACTGTGAGCGAGTCTGAAGAAGCTGCCAGATGAGTAACGCATTAAAAAAAAACCCCAACAAACTGTGATTGCCATTAACAAGTCAACATATGCAAATACATGCCAAACAGTTCTTGAGGTTGCTACAGTTATTTTGTATGACAGTTATAGAGAAAAGCTGTAGCTATTTGAAATGTTGCATTATGGTTGCTGTGACAAATGTTGGGTTTTTTTTTTTTAAAGTCGGGGACCACTTTACCTATTCACTTGAGTGTAGCT